ATTCAACCATGTTCAGATGTCCCGAGCATTGTTGCGCCGTAGGCCATGATGCAGTTGGCCTTGTCGTTGAAATGCCTGACTTGGAGTCAGCTTCAACTTCCATCGCTACAACATCCGCATCACATCCTCGCAAACACCGCTTTCTGACTTTTCTCATCGACACTAACACGTTCCAATAACTAGGGCAGTGGGACAGGCAGAATCAACGCCACTGGCGTGTTGCTCTTGCTGTTGCCCTGTCAAACTCGCAAGGCATTAAATGTCTCCTGTGCGCTTTATTAACGGTTCGGAATTGTGTCAAATGCTCCGAAGAAGCACAACAGTTCGTGTGTTTCATCGCGCTAACTTCAATGCACCCTTTAAGGCTGTTTGTCTTGCCTTGCCTCAGTACGCGCTCTTCGCTGTTAACGGCTTCTAGCAATCGATCATTGTACGTGTATTTGGAAAATGTTTACTCGAGCCAAAAATAAAAAAAAACTATGAATCTGGATGCTCCCACACTGGAACACTGGTAAAAACGTGTGAAAGAGGGCGGGATCATGAATCTTCGTTGTAAAATTTATTTATTTATCTTTTTATTCAGCAAAAAACTTGTGCTGTGTCGTAGTTGCGTCACTTGTGAAGTCGTAAAATTTGGGATTAGATGCCACACCAGTGGTGATTGAACCAATCAAACACAGGACTTGGGAATCCACCAATGGCCCTAACGTACTCCACAGATGAACCAGCTCTAGCCACTGAAGAACTTGTAATCTTCCACTACAATATCACCCGTCGATCGGCCTGGCGATACAACTGTCGACAACATTTTGAGGGGGTCAGTGAGTGTTTAGACTGACACAAACAACGATAAAAACAAAATTCATTTTGGAGAAATTTACGGAACGATAATGCAAAAAAAGGAGAAAGCATTGTTGCATTCGCACTTGGGATAAATCATGCGCTCTGCCCCCCCCCGCCCTGCCATGTTGCCGTTCTCCGGTATTTGGAGCGCGAACAAAAAGAGAGAAAACAGGCAACTTCGGACCAAAACAGCCCTGTCCCCGATCTGGGCGCCTGCGATGACCTTTAGGCAGCATTAAGAAGTCAGAAGGATGCAAAAAGCGAGGTGGTAAATGGTGGAAAAAAGATTTTTCTGACGTGTGCGCTTAACGATTAAAATCGGGGCGAATTGTGGGCTGGGTGGGCGTTAGAATCGTTGCACGGCTAAACATACACGAGGGAGCGTTCTACGATGACACCGCCGTCGTGTCAACTTCGCTGATGCTAAAGCACACCACCACAGGAACCAGACTTCACGGTACTTTGAATAGGGCAAAATACAGACACTAATTGGCATTTCACGAGGTGTGCATGATGGTTATCATGTGGAAGTAATTTAACTGTATCCCAAAATCCAACAAATCGAGGGGGACATCGCAAGAACGCCGTGACACGAACTTGCTGTTGTTGATCACATTCGCAAGTCCCAAAATGAACCCTTTGCTTCACAACAGCTGACGCAACGTGGAAAACTTCGAAGCGTGCGTTGTGCTACGAGAGAAGGCGATCGAAGTCGCCTGATGCAACGAAACGGGGAGCGTCTGCGGGAGGTCACAATTGGGACGGAGGTCTACTTATACTTGCCACGACAACGAGGCAACCCACCCAGCATGCAACCATGCAACGCCGGCAAATTATCGTCGCATAATTAACAGTGACAAGGCACGCTCACAAATCCACACACACAATTAATGGATGATTGGCAGACGGAACGATAAAAATGCCCAATCGATTTGACAGGGTGACAGCGGGAGGGGCCGTGCGAGTAAACAGTTCTTTTTCGGTCAAAAGGATAATCAATTAAACCGAACAGAAGCATTCAACCTCTGATGCTAGGTCGGAGGGACTGCGATTTCTGGCTTGACGAAAGTGCTCAGGAAACAAGCCGAAAACGGCACATGTTGTGCCTGGAATCGATACAGAGCGGTTGAGGAGTTGTCTGAAGGATTTACGAATTGGAAAGCAAGGCGTCTCCTTCGACGCATTAGTTTGGACTAATACTCACAAACTAGATTTGATAAGACAACAAATTCGCTGCGCACATTGGCACGTAAATAGTGCAAGTGTCGTAGGCTGAGGGAGGACGTGGACATCGGTACACCGTGGGAAATGCAATGTCGCGCTGCGTGGGTGCTGGCACTTCCCGATTGCCAGTCATCAACGAAATGTCTGTAGAGCGACAAGCATTAAGTGTCGCGTCTTAGGCAAACAATTCTATTCACGGGTAAATCACTGCTTCAACAGCCAAAAGACGCTCTGTCCAGATGACATTCAGGTCACACATAATTCATCCAACCAAGCAATTTCTGAACTTGGGTGATTTATGAAGAACAGCGGCATGGATCTTCATTGATTTTGTACAGGCTATCTTTGGGACAACACTTGGGAGAATTCTTTAGGGTGAAGCAGGTGTGGTCTGTGGACTGCGACAATTAAAAATAGTTTTAACAACCTGGCCGCTTTCCAAGTTACCCAGAACCCGGACGATCGGTACACTGAATGATACAAGCTTCCAGCGTGTCTGCTTGGTGAAGACGGGAAGACGTTTTTCAACTGTAAGTAGTAGATTTGACGTACAAATTTTGAGCTAGAGCGAATCGGTCGAGCTGACATCGGGAAGATGTGTTCACACTAAAAATAACCGTGCACTGATCGTTGAGTCATTTCTGACTAATCCAGAATGCATAGATAGTGGGTCACTTGTGTTAAGCAATTGACCAATCACAGTCCGCGTCGAAACTTGTGCAAAAGCCAGACAAAACTCCGTTAAATTTGAAATCGAGAAGTGTGGATTTTCAGCAAACAATGGGACAGCGTAACGACGGTGTGTTCGGCGACGCACAACAGTCGCGTAAATGATTTCCTGACTCATCTGGAATGCACAGGTAGAGTGAGTCACTTGTCACACGCTGGACCAATCACAGCCCGGGCCGAAACTCATGCAAAAGACCGGAATTCGAAGTCAAGGCGGGCGAGTTTTTAGCAGGCGATGTGGGCGGAATGAGACCGGATGTGTACACAGGTTGGGGGGGGGGGATGAGGACGGCCATGCCCGAAAACGGAGCTAAATTGCTCGAGCGTGTGACAGAAAAGTGCAAAACAAGCCCAGTTTTCCGGGGAATAATTGCGCGTTAACATACACACACGAACGACACTCCCACTGGTGATCACATGCGGCATCATTTCCGCACACACACACCGCGCTATCAAAGCAGTCTCGAAGGAGCCTAGGTATGGCTGGTTTATGCCCATCTGAAGCCGTAAACTCACAAGATACCCTAATGTGCGCACTTCGCAGAGAGCCGAAGAGGTGGATTGAGGACGTAGACGCCACGACTGACTCCCAGGCTTGGCTTCAATCACTTTCAAACAACTAGCGCGAGGTTGCGACCACTATTGACTCAGAATTAACAGCGTAGGTAGGTAAATTTACCAAGCTAAAACCGTCGACATTTTGAGAGAGGTAACGGCAATTAACAGCAACGAATGCAGTGCAGTGGCTGGTTTTCCTCCGTGCACAGAAAACGCAGCGATTTATTCGAAATATCACATATTGCGTTTCCGCAGTGCGCATGTTTATGTGGGACGAGTGGGATAAATGCGATTCAGTAAACAAACTGATGATTCCACATGAGAAAACGCAGACGAAAAGCAGCCGGCCGAATCAACCAACCAATCAGACGCAAGTAATCGAGGGGATCGTGTCACGGTACCAACAATCCGTGCATTACATTGATTTTCGATACAAAAAAAACTAGTTGGTGTGGGTAATTTACAAAAGGTCGTGTGTTAGCAGTACAAACTACACTAGATCAGAAGCCAAAGCACAACTACTTACAATGCACTACCGACAAAAAAATTGACGACAATTGCGAGCGGCCATTGAAAATCGTGGCTTTGTGTTAGGGCGACCTGTCGTAAACCCAAGAGTAGGACGAACAGCGAGTGATTCGCATAGCCCCCTGGCGTGCGTTTAGATACTTAACTGTAATGCGCCTATGCATAAATCACAGTACGCAAGTAGTAATTAACCGCGAACTTGCAAGGTACGTCGATTAAACACACACACACACACACACACCAAGAATAGCCTTCTTGTGACCAATTTCCTCTCAAAGCACCTGCTCAAACAGGTTAAATTTCCTCTTCATCACGGAGGGGAGTTTGAATCACAAAGTGATGCAATTAAGACGCAACAAAAAAGTATAACCACGCTAAATTTCCCCACATACCTTGCCAATGCTCTTTTTAGCCTAATGTTAATGGCAAATTTGACCAGAAACGAGAGGTGTTTTCAGCATTTCAAATGTACCGACTTGACTTAATGGAGGTGCGTGCCATGCCACAAATTAGGAGACACCTAGTTCCAGCGAGCGTGGTCCAGATACGCGGCCACTGTGATAAGCTGAATGCAGTACAATTGTGGAGGGCAACAGGGCTTGTGAAATTCAACGGGTTGTCAGCTAGATGAGCGACGTACCCCCTGATGTGGTCCAATTGTCAAATTAAGAGCATTCCAACGAATCTGCTGGGGCTAGTCGATCTCTCTACCCAACTGTGCATTCCCCACTAGGGGCGATTTTGGGCTGAGAATAAAATCACCCAAGATGTGTCCCAAAATTGGTTAATTTGGACAATGGCTTCGGCTTCGCACAGAGGCATTCGTGCGTTAGATGCGCAATCGGTGAAAAGTGCATGTGATTTGAACAAACTAGCAGGACAAAAAAAGGGAGGCAGGAAAGGTATACCGGAGCAAAACAGGACCGCTTGTACCAGAAGCCAATGAAGACACTAAGCAGGCAATACATAAGTGATATATCTGCGTTCATTTGACCAAAACTCTGTAGGCAGAAGTGACGCACTAACAATGAAGCAAGCAGAGTAAATTTAGAAGAAAAAAAGGGAAGTGATGACGCACCTTCGAGTGCTCGAGTGCCCTTCAGCAACTTCTTGTAGATGTGCATGCAGATGTCCGACTGGAGGCAGTCGGGGAAGGAGCGCTGCACGACACCCATGTCGATGCCGTAGGTGTAGGCCCACGCGTGGATAAAGTACTCCTCGAGGCGCTGGCGCAGCGGACCTGGGATTTGGTGGAAGCGGATGAACTCCTTGATGCGCAGCATCTGCGCGTGGTAGCGCGCCGTGCCGCTGTAGAGGCGCTGGATGATGGCGCTCACGTTGCCGAAGATGCTGGCGTACATTAGGGCTGGAAAGGGAACAACGACGCTCTTGATGACGCAAGTTGGTGTTGTCGGTGTTGGACATGCAAATTCGTCTCTCTACGAAAACTATGCCAAGTGTCGACTCAACCACAATTGAAAGGAAGCGCCATTTCTTGACGCCCTGAGATTTCATGATTAATTGTGGCGCCGAAGCCATGGCAGTGGAAAAGATCTTTACGTGGTCGGTGGTGAAGAAAATGTCGTTACCGAGGACACGATAAGGCAGCCCATTAGGGCCGTTCAAACGCGCATTTGACAGGAATACGAATAGGGAGATGGGAACATGGGTGTCGCAAGCCATAATGGAGGGAACTCCATTACCTTTGGTAGTCTCTACAGGGGGATCTTTCCTCTCATTTTCGCCACAATAAAACGGAGTGCCAAGTCGGAAGCCATCTGAACTTTTAACTCTTGGCAATCAGTAGTGGTGGTGCAACCGTAAACACGCCAAAATCAACGAATTCGTGTGATCTATGAAAACGAAGGTGTCATTGCGTTTCTCAACTGACTTCAATGAGGACCGCTGGAACAAGCTTTTCAAGTCGACGCTTTTCCGTGAAAAATAATTGCCGCGGACAACAGGGGAATTGACGTCCTGAAGATAGGAGTGAGAGGCGACGAAGGATAAATTCATCATTTCGCCTGATCGTTTTCATTGGTGATGGCAAAGAGGCTGATCTTTGCTCCACAAGTTGGAAATAATCTGCATCCTCAACGCTTTACAAACAATGGTGATGCTGATGGCTTGGACACTGCGACTTGGCGTCATTGTCTAACTAGCCGCATGCATAGAAACGGTTCACGGGATACACAAGCGGCAATTTCGACTTCATTCACGTAGCCTACTCCATTCGTTTCAACAGACCTCGACTACGACCGTTTGAAGTGGGGTTTGAGAGCACAACACATCTCAGACTGCTAAACGAATCCCAACCACAGGAACACTTGTCGGCGTTAACAGACATGGCGCGTTGGGAGGGAGAACGTGGGTGTCGCGTGTTAGTGGAAAACCACTTCACAATTGAATGAAATATGCTAGCTTGCCACAGGAACACAAATCCACCTTCTTGAACCACATTGCCACTGACGCCAAGGGAAGTGGTACCAATGTCTGGATTTGAGAAGAAGAACGGAGTGGGTGAGAAGGCAAGTGTGTAGCGAGGATTGGTGGAATGATGGCGAGCATAATCAGGTGATCGACCGCTAGCACCACAATGCCACTCAACAGAAGGGTCAACATTGGCCAGACCAATGCATTCAGCCTACTCTACCCAATCCCAAGTCCGGCAAAGAGAGCGTTGCACGGTGGAAAGGACAAGGAAGGAGAAATCCAAATGGATTGAATACAAGTCCACGAATCCTGAGCCATCAATCCAACCTCATAAATTACGGCAGATATCCCGTTTGCCACCTCCGAATTGCCTGGGGCATGTGTCGATTTAAGCATCGAATGGATGACAGACAAACAGAGCGAGGGAGGGAGACTTTGCTGCTTGTGAGGAACAAAAAAATTAGCCAATCGGCATTAAGTAAGGTTACTTTTGAGGCACAAAGCACTCACTCGGCGAGGACACTGATTCACACAGTAAATTGTACTAATGCGGATAAGATTTGAAAGTTTCGCGGGCCACAGCGCAACGGTAGGAATCAACCTTGAGGAACACGGAAATCCGTTGGACGCTTCCGGGTTCATAGGAGCTAACATTTTATTTTTAGGGGTAATATGGCGCTACAGGAATTCGAAATCGTGCCTCAAAAAGGGCAGGTCTTTTAAGGAAAGGTTGGATCGGCTTAGCATCACGCTCCCTCAGGAATGAGCAAGCAACCGAATCAACAGAGGTGGAGGACTTACAGCCGACTAGCATGACGACGATGGAGAAGACCTTCTCGGCGTTGGTGTTGGGGCTGACATTGCCGAATCCGATGGAGGTGAGGCTGGAGAAGGTGAAGTAGAGGGCGGTGATGTACTTGGTTTGGAGGGTGGGGCCTGAGCACGGGCTGTCGTTGTAGTACTGGTGCGTCTGTTCGGCCAGCGTGGCCAACCAGCCAATCTTTGGTGTGCTGTGCTGGTGCTCCGCGTTGCCGATCGCGTACCTATAGGGACAACCGAGCATTTCAGAGTGGTCCCCACGTGGCCACACTTCAAACAAGGCCCCCTGTAGAAGACAGACGAGCCTCGTGGGGTTAGATGGGCCGAAAAACGGCGCTCAGGCCTCGGATGTTGGAGGTAATAGCGCAAAACACAAGCATTAAAAAGCGCCTCACACGTGACTAGAGGAGGGTCCTAATTGCAGGAAAAGGGCGTTACAGCGAAGCCTAGTGCAAGCAACCAGAAGAGGGGATCGGTGTTTGAGGGCTAGAGCCTAAAGAACACGAATGACCTGTTTACGAGGTCAGGGAAACATCGGAGGCATGGCCAGCCAATGGGAAGCACAATCAGTAAGACGAGATTTAGCGAGCACGGGGTGCTACTCACCATATACAGGCGAGCCAATGAGCAATGAGGACGAAGACGGACGTCAGCAGGACCAGGATGGCCGTTCCGTACTCCGAGTAGCGGTCCAGTTTGCGTGCGACATTGATCAGACGCAGCAGACGAGCCGACTTAAGGAGACCGATCAGAGCGGTGGGCTGGTGAAGGAGAGAACAGGTAAGCATTAAACGGCCGGAGAGGGGAGGAACGCAGGTTATACTATCTTCACGAACTGCAAATAAATCGGCGCATTTAACTTGACTACCAGTAACTACACGATTAAGTGGCAAATGCCCAATTTCATTACCGTTTTAATTCGCATTGAGAAAAAGTCAGTTCCAGTGGAATAAGTCAGGTTCTTGCCTAAGCCACGCGCGTAATTGCCTAGCCAGCATCCACCGGAAATATCATAAAAAACTACATGATCGTTTGGGAGTATTATAGGATGGGAGCATCCAGAGGCATTTGGGAATCATTTTTAGATTGGATAGCCATTTTCAAGCTTTCCATGGGTGTAATATACTGGTAAAAAGCACATGCAAGAATTTTAACCTTTGGTATTCTGCGAGTGTGAACGAATTACAATGCAGCCGTGTAAAATGTAGGTCTGATCAACTAGTGCTACAGCATTGTAGCTCAAAGCTGCAGGTGGGAGCCGTTGGGAACCACTTTAGTTAATTGGGGTTGAAAAAAAGCGGCTAATTGCGGCATCACACACAAACACGCGAAGCGACAGCCTTTACGATTCCTGGATCCAAGTCGTTGTGGCTGCGCGGTTAGAACACACAAGGAAACGATCAAAATACACGCACAATGATCGATTGTTAGAAGCCGTTAACAGCGAAGGGTGGCTACTGGCGTAACGCAAGACAAACAGCCTTAAAGGGTGCATTGAAGTTGGCGCGATGAAACACACGAACTGTTGTGCTTCTTCGGAGCATTTGACACAACTCCGAACCGTTAATAAGGCGCACAGGAGACATTTAATGCCTCGCGAGTTTGACAGGGCAACAGCAAGAGCAACATGCCAGTGGTGTTGGTTCTGCCTGTCCCACTGCCCTGCTTATCTGAAGGTGTTAGCGTCGGTGAGAAAAGTCAGAAAGCGGTGTTTGTGAGGATGTGATGCGGATCTTGTAGCGATGGAAGTTGAAGCTGACTCCAAGTCAGGCATTTCAACGACAAAGCCAACTGCATCATGGCCTATGGCGCAACAATGCTCGGGACATCTGAACATGGTTGAAGTGGAAGGAATGCAGCAAGCACAAGCATCTGCAGTCCAGGTTGGGTAGAGATCCAGTCTGCTGAAACAGCCTCACTCGCACACGGAAAGTAGGCCAGTCCCTCCTGTGAACACACCAAGGGGCAATCTTCACCCCCCTCCCACACTGTCTAGTCATCTCGTGGTGGCACTTGACAGGATGCATCCACGATGAGTTGTTAAAGTCTAGTTTGGAGAAATGACGCCATTGTCCAGTAAAGGGAAATGCAGAGGCCATATGAGGCTTTAGGTTGACGGTGTGCATCGACGGCCTCATTCTCCGGGAGGTCAATGGATGGTTGTACTTGCGAGACAAACCCCCTTCAAGCGCCAGCCATCGGAACTGGACTTCGGGAATGCTTCACACGGAGGTGGGCATCGTTCAACAAAGGAGAAGATCATGATGGAATCGTAGCCTGAACTGCCACACTCGACCTCCAGAACACAGGTACTGCAGAGGAAACTGTCGTTCCGTGTTGTTCACCAAGTCAGTTGCGACAACCCTCATCGTTTCCTAGTTATCCAATTTTACAAACTGACTGTGAAAACGGATGGTTAGCAAGCGCGACTTGGGCTTCAAGCATCACAAGGGCAATCTGTTGCGGATTTCGTTAAAAGCCAGGTTACCAGTGGGCACGACAAAACAAACGAAGCCGCTTGTGCTTCTTGTTGTTTCTTAAGGTTACTCGGTTTGGTAATTAGAAGTGCGTTAAGACAAGGAGTGCGGGTTTGTGAGTCGAGGTTGAGAGCTTTACCTGAGACCGTCCTGTCTTAGATGAAATGTGTGTCCACTCGAGGCTTCTAAAGATTACACAGAACCAACAAAATCGCTGCACTAAAACATCCAGAATAACCCATTTTATCACAGGCAACCAATGGCGAAGAAAGAAGCACAAAAGGCGGCAAGACAAACCTGTTTTTCCTGCGATCGAAAAAACAGCGCATCGAAGGGGATTGCTGCAACCACATCGATGACGAACCACCCCTTGAGGTAATGCGTTGCAATCTTCTTCGGATTGGAGACCACCTCGTCGTTCTTGTTGACGTAGGTAGTCCGAAAGTTGATGATGATGTCGCAGACAAACATAATATCCACCATGATATCAACGGTGCCGAGGATGGCACGGTGTCCTGGGGCTCGACGCTGCGGATGCGTACAGTTGTAGCCCTTCAGTGGCAAAAAAAGAACCATTCAGTGCGCCAACCGCTGGGGAAGTGAGTGTGAAAGATAAGAAGCTCAATTTGCGTCACGAGGAAGCGTGAGGAGTACGAGCTGGAAAACCGAACTGATTCAGCAAGAAAATGAGACTGCACTTCGAGAATTAAGCTTCGCGGACAAGCGGCCCCCTTTTCCATTTCCAACATCCTGATTTTCTCAAACAAAGGCTATAGGTTGGGCGACCACTTTTTCAGCGCAACAGTTAGCTGCATGGATTGGCTAACTAGTTTAGTGATTAAAAGCTAAATTATAGTGCCGCATTGACAACAAGAGATAAGCATAACTCGAAGATTTCTTAATGAATTGACTAAACAACGCGGGTACAAGCCAACTAGCCAAGCAAGTGCACAAGTGCGCAGATAATAATGGGATCAAAAAGGACGCAAAATTGCTTAAAGAAAACATGAATTTGCGTATACACAGATTGTGTGGTGTTTTATGTTTGATCGCCTTTCCTCTTAATACTTTGGCACATTGATATGGCACAAACTCAACAAAAAAAAAACACGGAAAAATTTAATGCTTAAATTTGATTTCTTGAACATGTTTTGGCAGAACGTGATAGTAAACGAAACACATCACTATAACACGTCATAAAAGGGCTGTTTTTGGAACAAAGTCTAGATGAAAAGGACGCATTCTACATGTAAAAAAAAAGAACTAAAAAGTGTACACAGAGATCTTAAATCAAGAGACGAGTTTGAAGCGACAATCATCCACCTTTGTGGAGCTGCATTTTGAATTTATTGTGATAAGAATATGACATTTAACAAATAAAACCACTCAAAGATTGACCCATAATATTCCAAAGGAGCAAAAGAATCAACGAAAAATCAAACCTGCCTTGTAGTTGAGAAGGAAAGCGGTCATGTAGGGGGTGAATATGACGGTGTAGATAACTAGAATGAGGATGAACCAGTCCCAAACAGCGCGGATTGGGCTATAGTGTTTAAGCGTATACTTGTGCATCCGTTTTGACTCTAACTTCCGCTTCTCATGAAGGTCCTTATCAAGTGACAGAATCTGAAAGAAGGAACGGACAATTTGTAAAACAACGTTGAGAAAAAAGCGATATATGTAAGTGAATCTCATTTTACCTTGGCAAAAGTGTCGGTCACATGTGACTTTGACTGGTCTGAGTGCTTGCCAAGCACCAGTTGAAAGGTGCCTGCGTCACTGAGTACGAGTGAAGTTTGCGACACGGGAGCCGAAAGTAGACGGCTGCTACGAGCGAGAATAGAGGGTATGGTGTAACGGCTACATCTTCCGCCAAGAACGGCTGACGCCGGTCGAATTCGGTCGGTCGTGGACTCGGTTTCCGAGGACTGTGGGTCAGCCCACGAGGGCGGAGCGTTAGAACATGACTTTGGGCGTACATCCAGCCTTTTGACCGGTTCGTTGGTAACAGAGGCTCGTGATGTTTGAATAGAGGACCGCAAAGTCACTGAGTTGGCAGTCACCATGCTGGATGAGTCGAATCTGGCGCCTAGATCAATGAATAATGCATAAGTACTACTAGATACTATTAATACACCAATACAACAAACGTACTTCTTTCCGTAACATTAGGTTCCTGGAGGGTTTTTACGTCATGAAGAAAGAGACTAGATATTGACATCCTATGATTGCTTCCTGTCGGTAGGTGCTCAGACGGGCTCCGACTAAGGACAACTTCTTTAGGTAAGAGTTCATGGCGCGCGGACTGGCTAAGTTGATGAATTCTTTTTAAATTATTTTTAGGAGTTTCTCTATTACGATGAAAAATCATAGTTGCGATAGTTGAGAGTCTCCGTACACTGGTGCGTCTATCATTCTTCTTCTCCAATTGAAGCTGCTCAACAGCTTCAAAAAATAAAATGTGCAGAGAAACACGACCGAATTCATCTGTAAGCGGCGTGATGGATATTTCACACTGCCTGACTTCATCTAAGGAAAGCATAAGGTCAAAAAAATGTACCTTTCTTAGTATACAGGTTTAACTCCAGTTTTACTTCACGATCACAAACAATCCCATCAGACAGCGCTTGTATGGACTCAGGCGAAGTACTTTCACCGTATAGAAAAGACAAACAGGACGGTTTTAATAGCAACTGTGCTTTAGTAAAGGAGAAAAGGTCACAGAAGTCCTCACTGCAATAAATGATTGGATTTAAAGCGATCTTTGAATTCGTTATGATGAACGCAGCATCTGAAAAGAAGTATTAGGACCACTCAAAGGAAAAATTACATTGATTGTCAAATTTCTTAATGAGTGTATCTATGTAGGTATTTTTCGGAGCAACGTGGCCCCTTCGCACGGGCATGCTGCACGCAAACGCATGTGGTAGAGTAACATTTACGTAATGTGCGCAAGTATGATTATAAAGTAAAATTATTTTTCTTAAGACATTTTGCAACGTCTACGAGACAAAAATGTTACTTTGCAAAATCTTTACTAAAAGTGTTTAAATTAATTGTTCTTGTCACTGCGTCTTTTGCTTGGTGACCTAGAGGATGCCGGTTATAGATAAGGTAGTTTTATCATTGTAGTGCTTACATTGAATGTCCAAGACTAATGAGTGTGAGTCTTTTCAGAGGTCAGGTTCAGATTTCGTTGTAAATGGAAAATGGAAACTTGTCAGGAAGATTGGTAGCGGATCCTTCGGCGAAATATTCCTTGGAGTAAACATTGAAACCGGTGAAGAGGTTGCCGTAAAACTTGAGAAGGTTTCAGCCAGGCATCCACAGTTGTTTTTTGAGAGCAAGGTGTATCGAGTTCTCTCAGTAGGTTACAATCGGTTCTAAACATCTCCTGTTTCAGGATACACCTGGCCTTCCTCATATACAATATTACGGCTTTGATGGCGTTAATAATGCTTACCATGCTCTAGTAATGGATTTGCTAGGGCCAAGTCTGGAGGACCTTTTCAACTTTTGTGGGAGGTGCTTTACAATGAAAACGGTTTTAATGCTTGTGGACCAGATGCTTTGGCGGCTGGAGTTTATACATGCACGCTCCTTCATTCATCGGGATATCAAACCTGACAATTTTCTGATGGGCATAGGGAAACACTGTAACAAGTTATTCATCATAGACTTTGGTTTGGCCAAGAAGTATAGGTACGTAAAGTCAAACCTTGGCCTACCATTTTGTGTCTTGAATACTGGTCATAACTTTGATTTGTCACACAAGCGAAACGAATATATTTCGACTGGAATCATGAATTCCTGTATCATTGTACCCTGAGGCGTTTGCAAGGTTTGTTTCCTTTATGACATTTAATTTGGAGTAATTTAGTTTTACCTCGTAATTTATATTCCAAAGTGTAACCACCTTATTGTTACCTCCAATTTGGCATATATGCTACATTACTATGTTCTTAACCTTAGGGACGTTCGATCACATCGTCACATCCCTTATAAGGAACACAAAGCTCTCACAGGCACAGCACGTTATGCCAGCATCAACGCCCACGCCGGCATTGAACAGTCACGGCGTGATGACTTAGAATCTCTCGGTTACGTGTTGATGTATTTTCTTTCTGGTTCTCTTCCTTGGCAAGGTCTGAGAGTGAGTAATTCATTCAATTAGCCCTCTTTGTACAGTCGTGCCTCTCACTGTTTTAGTCGATTAGCTCTGTGGTTACCTTTCCTTACATTTTTCTGCATATTTGTTGAGGTTTGGCCTTATTTGCTAATGTCTCAATAGTCTTTGTATTGCAGCCAGCATCTGTAACATAGTTATCTCCCGGTTTATGTTAAATTTGTGTCGTATACTTCTAACCAATTTTTGTACGGAAAATACACGATTAGGCTCTTCTGCCTATAATTTTAGTCTGTTAAATCGAGTTTCGATACGCATAGTCGCACCGTACCATTGTGTCATGTCCCTAGTGCCTTATTTTCTCATCGTTGGCTGAGATCAATAAAGACTCGACGTTTGTTTAGCTATAAATTCGTGTTTGTAGCAACCTCATTGCAACTATCAGTCTAAGCTGTGAAATTAAGTTGACACGTGTGAGATTAAATAGAAGCCGCGCCAATTAAGAACCTTCGCTAACTTCCTCGATTGCACCTCTCGAAGGCTTGCTTATAGCTGATAACTGTGACTCACTAACACGAGGATTCAACAGACATTTTGCTAACTGTCAGGCTAATTGGCCCGGTTATCGTTTTGTAGTCGAGAGCTGATTCCTTGTTTTGTGTCGATTGGTCGTGGCCAACCCCTCTTGTCGCCCGCGTGCTCACTCAAAGTGTTTGTTAGTCACCTGAAGATGATGGAGGCTGTCGTCACCTATAAACTATTGGGCTTCGGTGGGTGACAATTTTGACCTCATACGTATTCGTATATGTTCTCTGCTCTGACTGGCTACATTATCTTAACGCTCTTCAACCCCAAAACAAGGCAGAGTTGCTCGAAGCCGAAGTCGTTTTTGGTCTAATTTTACTCTACTCATGTAGTGTTCTTTTGTGCGGTGGTTGTGTGTGTGTGTGGGTAGGTGGGTGCGCGCATGCGCTCACACTCGCATTTGCGTGTGCACACAACCACGAAGACGTAAGCCTGTTAGCACCATGCTCATCATCGATTCGCGACGCTGCCGCCACCGCCGCCGTCGATCACAGTCACACACTCACACACACACACACGCACTCAATCACATGTGTGTTACTTTTTGAGTCCACGTGATCCCCCTTAGCTGGTCTGTCAGTTACTCCACTCTGCATTTTAATTCGATTGAATCTGCACCCTCGCCCTCAGCCTCCTTGTCTTGTCTTGTTGCTGTGACTTTGCTCTCTGTCGCCGTGCGAATCCGTCGGCCCCATTTCATCTGACTGTTTAGGGTACTTAAATGCCTCCCCCTTGAAGTCACTTCAAACTCTCGTGCTCCACATTGTGAGTTTTAGCAGGCCTTGCTGCACTGTCTGTCGTTTGTTGCTCGCTATCTTTGTGTGTAGTCACTTGTGTGCGGTCGGGTTTTCATGGCTATCTCACTTTGGCTGCAATGATTAGGTGGCAAAAAGGGAGGCCAAATTTAATCAGCCTTTCACATTTGTCACACAGGCGAACACCAAGAAGCAGAAGTACGAGCGAATTCACGAGAAGAAGGTCTCCACGTCCATAGAGACCCTGTGTCGCGGTTTCCCGCCCGAATTCGCCCTCTACCTGACGCACTGCCGTGGCTTGCACTTCGAGGAGACGCCCGACTACAACCTCTTCCGCAGCAACTTCCGCGCACTCTTCAAGGCCCTCGCCTTCAACTGGGACTTCGTCTTCGACTGGACCCTTCTGCGCCAGAAGGCCTCAGCAGTGCAGCAGCACTCCAACGCCGTGGCGCACAACCTGCCCTCGGCGTCGGCCAGCAAGCTCATGCCGACGTCGACGAACCACGGAACTGCCGCGGCCACGGCTGGCGACGAAACCGGTGGGAAGCTGTGAGACATCGCTGCCGCCCAAGTGGAAATACGAGTCTTTCGTCATAAAAGCCTCCGTATTACCTACCTTCACTGCCATGTATATTTTTTTTTCTTTCCTCCCGGCTACTCTCTCTCTCTCTCTCTCGATCTGTGTGCGTGTGCGTATGTGTGCGTCTCGGCTTAGTGTGCTTCTTTGCATTGCACTGCAATCCTTGTTTTTGGTGTGTATACGCATTGCCGCCCCCGTGTGGATGTATGGTGTTGCCCGCGTGCCCACGGCGACACCCATCCCCCCACATGCCTTCAAAGATATGCAAAAGATAAAGCGATAACTTCGTGGCTGACGTTTGAGCTGGCTTCTATGTCCTTTGCCCTCCGGGTGGTGCTTGATTTTACACTGCTTCCTGGTTTATCTGCACCTGATTTAGATAGTGGTATGCTTAAAATCATTCCCGATGTCGGTGTTACTTCATCAAGCACCTTTGAACAGGTCTGCAGCGTAGGTAGCACGATACTGAACTGTAGTTAATGGGCCAGCCAATAGGAAGTAATCATGGGACCGCTTTTGCACACTGAGTTTCGTCTGGGAGAAATTCCTACCAATCACATCGCTGGGTCGAAACTCGGGCATGAAGTGGTTTCGCGCCATTTTTTGAATTTCCCAATTCCCATCACTACGTCTTAAAAGGGTGGTTTACGTAGGATAATGATGATGAAGGGCTAACAACAGACACGATAGTGTTGTCGAATTCAAAATTATTGCAAGTTCTCAACACGAAACAGGGCCTTTAATTCGTTCTTGGCTTCGTCACCGCGTAGGTCAGGTCGAGGTCGTCCACACCCTGACTAAGGTCACGTCTTTTCATGGTCAACTATCTAAGCACAAAATTGCCACTTGTCAATGGTACTTCAAGTATGCTTGTTGTGTGAGGTGGTAACTTTGCTGAAATCCTATTGGTCAGCTGAAACAATCCGCGATTGCGTCAGGTAATGAACTAGCAAATTAAGCCAATAGAAGGAGTCAGTGTTAACACGTGACATCTTTTAAGGGACCGCGCGTCATCACCAGAGAAGACAATTCGATGTTGGCATTGGGCTTCCTGGAACATCCACACCTTCAGTTAGCATTAGAGTGCTCTTTGGATTCAACCCTTCCCTCATTAACCCTATCAGCGTAGATTTTCCTCACACCTAGGTTACGACGCTAGCGCGCATGTGACTCACGTCTGAAGCATGAATACACACGCGCAAACGCCACACACGACACCAACTTAGTTGAGCTTTGAAGGAAACGATTGTGTCCACGTCCTCTCCGATCGTCTTCTTCTTCATCGCGGCAATCAGGGAAGCGTAATCGGGCCAGAACCAATTCAGCGGTCCCGGCGTGGTTCAAGACCACACACTGGGGCCCACAACACGCTGATCACGAAATGATGGGCCCCCAGGACTACAACTGGATATTTTCTGATTGTCAGCCCATTTAAGATGTGCTCCTAAATCACACTAGGATAAGACTAGTCCTACACATGCTCAAGTGTGTTGAATATATCCGCACATAGTGCCTACTCACCAAACTGCCATTGGTTTCAACGGGTTGAATCGATATTTGTTGAGTTAGCATGCACTGTAGTTCTCACAATCCGTTTTTCAGTTCTAGTGATGATAATTCAGCTAAAATTAGGGTCAAGAGGTTAGACTTCTAAGCCAGACAAATTCACACGCCACAAGGACCGTGAGTTCGCACTTTCTGTCGGCATTCACCTGGTTACCCGTCTTCACACTTACATTCCTTCAACTTCAATCGGTTCGTAAACCTTGACACCGACTCTCCCTTGCTTAAAATTTGCACCTTTGACCAATAAACGTTCTAGTTTGCGGCATCGCTGGTCCTTTTTTCCCCTGATCACCATTATCGATCTGTTCTGGGGGTATTTGCAACTTGCCTTGCCCAAAATATGCACTTTTTGACCTAAAACAACTTCCATAAAACATCATTAGTGTATTTTTAGGGGGAAAAAACTAGACGTTGTCATGGCAACCATCTAGAGCATTTAAGGATGACACTTCAGTGACATTCTCCCTGTTTCATCACTGCAGTTATTTCGCTGATCGCCATTACGAATTCAGGTGGATATCAGTATTTTGTTGGTGCTGCTGCTGCTGTGTTATTTTCGCGTAAATCAATCTCTCTCTCTCTCCGTGTGTGTGGTTGTCTGATTACGGGAACTAGGATTTAGTGAACAAACAACGTTTACCTACGTGGTTTCCAACCACTGATAAAATCAACAAACAGCGTCATTTTGCAAAGCCGTAAAGATCCCCGGAAAGCCTCTTTGGTGCTGTTTGGTCATCCAAACTTGCCTTGCTATTTTCGGGGGTCGGAATAGGCGATTCGGCTCCTAAATCTGTCCCTGTTCTCAAACACCGCTTTTCAGATTTCAGACATGCAAAACGCGCGCACACACACACACGTTCACTGTGGTCCACAATTCATTTTACAGAATGAAATATCCACAGTACCTTATTTGCAAGCTTTCACCGTCACCAAAACCCAACAAGAAGGTGTACAAACCCCTTAACAATTGAATTCGTCCCTATTCAAGTCCGTCGACTCTCTCATGAATTATTTCGGATTGGAAGGGTGGATCAGTTAGTCTAGACAGAGGCGTGCCTTCAAAAGACGCAATGCGACTTCTCTATGCCAACTAATTGTCTGGATTTCTGAAGGCTCTTTCGGCGGCGTGAAAGCGACCCAGACGCTCGCAGTGTATCGGTTGTTTGAGTGCGCTGCATTGCCTAGGAGACGAGAAGGTCAAACACTTCTCTGCTTCAAAACTCATTATGCTACGGACATTTTCGTGGTGTCAAATCACTGGTAACCGCCACCCTAGACAACAGGGCTCTTCTAATGCTTGAACTCACGTGACAGATTGCTTTAAAAAATTGTCGTTTTTACCTATCGGCAATGTAGACAATTCCCGGAAATGAGTCTCAACAGCTTTTCATCTGTTTTCCTGGCAAAAATGGTAATTTAATGGTCAACCACTGTATATTGTATGTTTATTTGTTCATTTATTTAATTAGCTGTGGCAAATCTTCAAATTGGATCCCTGTTTTTTGTAAATTTGGTAAATTATTTGAACCCCATGGCGCAATTTATTTCCAAAGGGGAGAGTTGGGCCAAAAACGAGGCGATCATGAACTCAACTCCAACCAGAACGAGCCAATGAGATAAAGGCAGGAGTAGCGCGCGGTCATTTTGAAGCTTTTTGAATACCAACTACTCCGTTAGCGTTTAATTGTCATGGAAACCATAATTTGGATGGAATTTCGCCAATTTCAGACCTCGCTGAGACTGGAAGAAGTAAAAAGACAGAAGCCATATATCCTGCAAATAATAGTCGAAGTAATTACAAACAACGTAATGCTTCTTTTGGGAGCAAATATATAGAGATAGAGAGAGAGACAGTGAGAGAGAGAGAGAACGTGTGCGTGTGTGAGGAGGTTAGCCGGACAGGTACGCTGTTGGCGTTTCAGTAGTATTTGTGTTTCTGTGTGATTTTGTGCGTCACAGAAACCGACCTCTTGCGGTGATCTGGGCTCGGATTAAAACAAGCGCGGGAAGGGTCTAGGGAGATGAGAATGGGCAAAAACAACACTTACAACACCGTTGTCATCATCACCGACAACAACCAACGGATTCTGGTGGTGAGGGTATGGCGAAATAATGAGATCTACAGCAGTATTGGCCTTGAACAGAGTGTACGAGGTGGTCTTGGAATAAACTTATGACTGTGGTGGAGCCACTGGCCTATCGAAATGGCGCATCGATCGATACTGATACTTGCTCCACGGCATCACGGGTGCGTGGTATCCCATTGGTGGCTGAAGGTCGTGAGACGCAATTGGCTGCACTCCCTCGGAGGAGTAGTAGTGTCTTGGTGTTCGGGGCTGGGGGTTCACTTGTGCACTGTGCGTGTATTGGCTGTTTCGCGGACGAATCAGATTGCGGCGGTGATCCGGTGTTATGCGAACCTGCGAATAGGGATCGTCCGACACTGCATCGCATCGACCACGCTCCTGACGAATGGCGAATCGCATCAGGCGTCGACGCCAATTCTCCACCCACGGCAGAATTGTGCTCTTCTGGTCCAAGAGAAGTTCATTTCTCTCATGAAACGGTATCTATTACAGATAAGATAGCAATTTTACTAGAATATTACTTGGACCAATAAACGTCCAGCCAAAGTGACGTGGTGACTGCCTTCTTGTCAAAGCACAACCCAATTGGTGCTGTTTGACCAATCCAAATAATGCTGCCAGCATTCTTTCAAATGATTGGTTAATTGAGAATTGACTCAAACTTAACTCAAGCTCAAATGGTTCATCATTCTTTTCGTTTTTTTAGTAGCTGGCTTCGATGTTGACCGAAGAGGGGACAAATAATTCGTGACTCATTGAAACGAAATTTGTGTTTTTCTAACAACTTTAAACATTTTGCTGTGACTTTGAATTCTTTCCGTTTTTTAGCCAATTGTAGCCAAAAATTGAACGCGTCTAGCACCAAAGTGCTGATTGGCGCATTCAGGTAGTCTTCCGTTCACCCCAGTCTATTAAACAAAACTCGATCTTTCAAGACCTTGAGTTAAATTTGTAAATCCGGCTCTTTTCCTGCATTTTAATGAAATAGACGGGCATAACTGGGCATAATTGTAACGGAAAATGAAAATTTGACATTGCAATGACGCGGTTGTCTTAATATGGCGCCACAGCCCTGGACCTTGCTTGTAACCCACGCTTGCCTACCGGCGTTTACCGTTGCCTAATTAAACAAAACACAGGTGTGTAAAACATCACATTGTCCATTATTTGGGCTCATTTCAAGGTCACGACCGCAGCTGTTGCGTCGCAAGCTCAGAGCCCGGCTGACCAATTGACAGCCAACGGAATCACTAAGGTACAAACAGATGTGACCAATGATTGATAGCCAAGTTATCAGCCATTGGTGGAGATGATTAGGAT